CCTTCTTTCGGGGTGTCCTGGACAGGGAGATCCCGGATAGTAGTGGGCTAAACGGCGAAAGAAATCAGCCAGGTGACCCCGACACGAGAAAGGTGCTGGTCATGTGTTGCCTCAATCCCAGACTCTCCATGGGACTGGAATATATGCCGATCAATTGACCCCCCTGGCACCCCAACTGATCGGCATATATGGCATACATGGAGTGTCTGGGAATGTAGTTTCCGTTTCTTTCTGTGTTTCTTTCCATTTCCAGTGCGTGTCTCCTAGGCTGGGAACACCTAGTGACTCGTAGTGAGAGAGAAGACTAGCGACGCTTCAATTTCCATGATCTACTTGAGTTGGTGGAAACATGTTTGGGATGAACATGCTCCCTGGAACAATCATAGAAATGGACACCCCCTGTTTGTAGAGGAACATGTTCTTTCCGAGGGGCCAGAATGTCCACTTCCGTGATTGTTGGAGGGGAAGCAAGTTTTGCTGCCCTTTATGTCCAGATGTCCTTTTCCATCCTGTTCCTAATATACGTATAGCAGATGATTCTGGTACTATGGTTGACAGAAGGCATCCTGTACCACCCAATGATGATATCATTCCCTATGAATCCACATACCCTCTGAGAGGATGATTGGAGACACTGCACTTCTATATAGGCTTGGAGGGTGCAAGTAGCTGCTGAGAAGGGATGCTGGATCCCTAGGGTTTGTTTTCACACGTGCTCACTCTTCTGAGGGGATGCAGGATTCTTTCCTTGCGCTGTGTTTTGAAGTGACGGGGATGATTGAGAGTACTCCTTTTGAGCGGCGATTGTGGTCAATTTGTAGAACCAGGACCAGGAATCACAAAGAGGTGCCGAACCTGGAGGATAGGGCGTGCTGCGAAGGGCTGCCCGGCCCGGCGATGTAGATGTAGACCATCGATGGCCATTCCCGGCCCCGGTAGCTTGCAGCTTGCACTGAACAATGCACATTCTAGTTTGCCATTCCTGGTTTTGTTTGTGTTGGACAGCTGCACTGCTATCATAGTCTGCGGAGAAATGATCAATTTGATTCCTCTACTCAGGAGAGCATCCGTGTGGAAGTCTTCACTCACAATTGGACTTGCACTCCCGCACTTCAACTTCAATTCCACTGCAGGATACTTGCACCATGGTCCACCATGGTCCCACCACTGCCCTGTACCTCTGGGGTCCTTGGGTCTCTCACGTTCCCGTCTCTCCGTGTGAGGGAGTCGGGAGTCGATCGATGTGCACGCTCGATCGAGGTGAACAAAAGCCAGTCGCTGGGCCAGCAGTCGGAGTGAGGATGTCCAAAAGTGCGCATCCCTGGACTTGGAAACACATGTTTCGTGCCTATGAACATGGGACATGGCCTACCACAAACAACGCGGCACCCATGAATGACCCCGTTTTCCAAGCGAATTACGCACTGAGACTGCTTGGATCTCCGGGTACCTGCTTGGATCATCGGGTTTGGGTCGTCACCAATAGACAGGACACTGACAGGACACCCATTCCCAGACACTCCATGTGTGCCATAGGACTGCCGATCAGTTGGGGTGGTGCCAGGCTTGGAAAAATGGGGAGTCTCCCCCGTTGACGGGGCTCCACCTCTGAAGTTGCTTCGGTGGGGGGCCCCAACCACCGTTCGGTCGCTTCTTCGGATGTGGGCCAGGAGGCCCTAGGCCCTAGGGATCTGTCGTCATGTCGTGTCATGTCACATGTTCGATCACGTCTGAAGACGGTCCCGGGTCGGGTCGTTCGACATAGACCGTCCGGTCGGTCGTGCCCTGTGAAAAGAGAGTGCTGGGTCCCTATAATGGTCCAGGGAAATCCCGTCGTTCATGCTGCTTTCGGATCGTCTTTCTGGGGCCAATCTTTCGGTCCCTGCCTGGCTGCCTGGGGGACCTGAGCTGGACTCGACTGAGATGTCGAGACTTCACACGTTGAACACCGGCGAACCCGCCGGCGGAGTTCGGCCCGTCGTCCGAGGGGCAGCGCCGTGGAGATGTCGCGGCTCCGATCGTCTGGCGCTCAAGCAGTGCTCCAGGAGGGTCGCGGGTCGCGGGTCGTTTGGCTGCGGATGATGCTTTGGGAGGCGCCCTTTTTCCGGTGTGGTTGATTGGAGTTGAATGAAGTAAGTAGGGAGAAGCCAAGTTACTGGATGATCTGGATGGATGTTGGCATTTTTTGCAGGAAAGTGTTGGGGGAAGATTTAGGTGCCAAATGCTCCTTGTGCGTCATTTTCGAAAGAGCGGGTTGCAGCAAGGTGATGTAAGGTGGATGTGTAGGGTTGGTCATTCCACATTTCTATCATCTGCGTTTGGCGGTTTTCGGGTTGATGGTGAGTTATTTCTGGTTCTTGGGTGAATCCCCTGGCCTGGGGTTCCTACCCAGATGCGACTAATGGGACTGCCATAGGACTGCCAACCCGTTGGAGTGGTGCCAGGGGGGTCAATTGATCGGCATATATTCCAGTCCCATGGAGTGTATGGGAGATGTTTCGAAACATTCATGTATGGGATATGGTTCCGATCAGCAAGTCGAAGCAGTGTTTTCAGGGTTCCGATCAAGCGCGTGGAAAGATTCAATGCACGACTGAATCCAAGCCACGCAATCAATTTGGACAGCGCGTTCAAACCAGGAGACGTGCAGGAGAGGTGGAGGACACGAGTTTTGTAGCCTTTTTTGAGGTAAGCAGATCTTCCAATTGGGATTAAAGACCATTAAGTGGGTTTCATGGGTAAGTTGCAAGGCAAAAGTACAATGACCGGTGTTTTGTTTACATCAGGCAACAATGACACCCATTGCTTTGGGGGGAATGGCCCGAGGGAGAGAAAGGTAGATCAACCAAATCCACCTGGACCTGTTGGACCCTTCGTACCTTGAAGCTGGGACATGACCTGAACAGAAACATGGTAGTAACAAGAAGCTACGAACGGGGCGCTCCTGGCATTACTACTTTCGGAACAGGAAGCTATACGAACGTATATCATTTATATTGCATCATATTGTGTCCCTTGTTGTGTGAGGTACTAAACAGGTGGACTCTGACGGCACGTGAGGTGTCTGACACTCCACGGGTCAGAGAAGTTCACCACCCAAGAAATGGTCATCATTCCCAGACACTCCATGTATGCCATATTTCCCTACATTGGGGTGGTTTCAGGGGTTAATGTAGGCATATATGGCAGTCCCATGGAGTGTCTGGGATTTGGGTTTGTCCCAGTAAACCGGTAGAGCCGCCGGTCAACGAGCGTTCCACTGTTGAAATGAACGCCTGCAACCTGGGCCCATCATCATCCACTGGGTGGATGAAATGGATAGATCCCCAGTCATCATGGTCAAACGTTCCTCCTCCGAGTCGCCACGGGGTCGAGTCCTGGTTTTGACCCACCCTTTGTTGTGGAGAAGATTCATGGATTCCCACACCATCAATTACACCAGTCACCATCCATGTATGAAATGTATGCCTACATTGACCCGTCAAACCACCCCAGTGTAGGTCAATATGCCCTATATGGATGGTCTGGCACTAGTCTCACTGCCCTCAGGACATCTTGGTCTACCATTCGAACGACATCCAGTGCCTTGCCATTCGATTCGCTCTTTTGCAGTAAGGTTTACAGTACCATGTCAGGCGACTGTTCATGTTAGTTTGTTGTTGGATGCACATATACCTGCAGCCTTGTGGTTGCTGTTTTTTGGTCGGTAGTTCAACATACCTTCAAGAAGGTCTGTGAACCACAGAAACATCCGCAACTGAAATAAGAACTGCTTAAAAACAAAAACACGTTGGGAAACAAAAAAGGCAAACAAAAGCCTGTGGCTGTGGCTTACCAATAAACGCCCTTGGTCTGTGTATAAACGCTCGTGGAACATCAGAAAAATCTGAAAACTAGAGAAACATCCGCAGACTCAAATACAACAAAAGATGTTTTGCACGCCGCAGAAGAAAAAAAGATGCACTCTGAGCAAGTTCCAGGTATACGGTATGACTGTATTGTAATATAGTTTGGTGCTTCCTCACAAGCTTTGGTATGCAGGAATTGGTTCATAGATCCATCGCTTTGTCAATGCCGACATGACTTGAACGGACAGGAGGCACAGAGCTAAACCTGAGCACATCAAAACCATGGAAGAACTGCACTGCATGGAGAACATGGAGAAGGTGTGACTGGGTGTTCTCCATGGCGAAGTTGTCTAGTCGACATGGGGTGGTTTTACTGTGGTGTTGTATGTGGGATATGTGGACCCCCCAAAGTGTTTGAACAAATGATTGTTTGTTGGCATGGCACTGGAATGTTCACGTTCACCATGTTTGGGGGATTTTTTCTGGGGTGTGAAAGCACACCTGCTTGACGATGCTCCTGTGAGTATGTAGTCACACAAAGTTCAAGGGCATTTGACAGTCAAACCAGTCCCAGACACTCCGCTTGTATGGTATGTATAACCTCCATTCATGCCTTTTCAACCACCCCAATTGATTGGCGAATATGGCAGTCCCACACAGGTCGCGTGTTGGATATGACCGTGGATCTCACCCACAAAGGTTGCCACGTAGGTCAGCGGTACTTGCAAAGAGGTAGTCAGCCTAGTCAGCTGTAGATTTCAAACCCACACCATCCATGGGACTGGAATAGTTATATAATTTCAGTACCTACATTGGGGTCACTTGAAACTGTGGTTTTCATGTATGTATCTGATCTTCAGTCCCAGACATCGTCGTTTGGTCTGGGGTACCGCACCAAGGTTGGACAAGGTGGCTCGCCAGACCATCCCCTTCCTGCGAGGATGAGCAAAATGAGTCGAAACCGAGAGCAAGTGGACGGTGTGTGTTTGCGTGGCAGGACGAGTACAGCCCAGCTGAGCTAAGAAAAAACCAGACAAGCAAAGGCTTTGTCATGTTCCTTCCCTTGGTTGGACGTCTCCGTCTCCATCGTCCCTTGGTTGGTTTGCTTTTGGACGATCACTACCAGGCCCGTGGACCGAACGCTCGGCGGAGGTTCGAGCTGTGGCATCTTCGATGGGGAGCAGCTCACGATCCCAGTGACGGCGCCGTAGCGGCGAAGCCGTTCGGCGCACACGCGGCGAACTTCGGCCAGCGAATCGCGAGATCGCAGAGGGAGAGCAGTATAGAGGTGGGGGTGGTGACAAGTCAGGTAGATGGTCAGAATATTGGTGAGACTGGAATAGGTATGACCACATGCAGGGGTCATTGTCATGGTGTAAATGTGTGACTCTTCCATATGGATGGTTTGGGCTTGGTCAAAAGTCAAAATGGATGTTGTCACCTACTAGGACCATCGTGTTTGGATGTCATTACTATCTATACTATTTGGATCTCCAGGACACCCAGTTCATTCTCTTGTTTTTCCATGTCCCATTTGGCAGAGCACTTGAGAGGCTCCAGCTCGAGCCCTGTTTCTCCATTTTGCTATCCAAAAAGACGTCCGCCTGGGAGAAACACGAGAGGCCTCAAGTGTCCAGGACTCCCTTAAGCCCCCCTTAAGCCCCTCCCGTTCCTCTCCGATCTAGATCTGAGCTCGAGACACGTTGGTTCCCATCGGCAGGGACCTAGACTGGATGATCGCGACGTGGTTTGTCCCGTCCCAGACCATCAATGTAGCTAGCTAGTAACGTAGTAACTTTGCGCTTGTTACTAGTAGCGTAGCGATGCCCTTTGTTACTAGGAGCTAGCCAAATATAGGAGGGTTTTGCGGATCAGGATGTTTTTATGTTCCCTGTGGGTACATTGGTAAATCCTCTTCTGGTAATTTGTGTTCTTTTTCCGAGGTTCCAACTTTAGCAAATTCATGTGTACGGAATAATTACTTATATTAGTCAGAGGCAAACAGATGGGTAGTGCACAGGAGGGCTTTGTCAAAATCTAAAGCCCTTTCTCCACACACCCTCCATTTTAGCCTTCTATTAGCGTCATAAATGGAGTAAGTAACTAGTCCCATTCGTTCTATAGGTTTTGAGGACCAAGGCTGTTCGAAGCATCTAGGCTTGATGAATAACCCCTCTCCAATTGGGAGAGTCAAAGCCCTTCGGATTGCAGACCTCACTCGCGTGGGTGACATGCTCTCACATGTTTGTGTAAGCGTCTTCTGTTTAGCCAGTACCGGTCTCTTCCGTTGGCGTCTCCTCCCCAACACGACGTCGCGGCTGATAGCGTCCAGGGAACGTGGTTCCCTGTTCCCTTCTGCAGGTGCCCAAAGTCCTGGTGCCGCCCTGTGGACATGCGTTGCACACCCTTTGCATCGGCTCGGGTCCCCAAGAGGTGAACGGGGCAAAGCTCGGAAAGTCGGTGGGTGACATGGTCGGTTTTTCAAGGGCATCGGTGTGGAGGGTTTAAGCCAACCACTGTGGAACTGTAGGATTTGACGCGAATGGCCAGTGAATTTGTGGCATGGCTTTCAAAGGGATGTCAATGGAACCCTGAGGATTTGTCACCATGGCAGAGTTGGTGTGTGAGACTTGAATATTGAGAGCACCGCAACACAGTCCCAATTGGTTCGACGAACGGGCAAGCCCAGGAGGCGAACGTCACATCTTAGGAGGCCAACAGGCCTTTGTGAAGCTCATATAGAGAGCACCAAACAAACCTAGAGAAGGTTTTTTTGCAGCGAAGACGAGCCGCTCCCATTGAACTTTTGACACCGCGAGGTGTCAACTTAGAAGTCAAAGGTGAGAAGATGTGAGACGTGTTGGAAAAACATCTGCGGGGGCCTTATAGTGAGTGTCCTCAGTGTCCTTAGTGGTTGCCATAGTGTGTTCTGCTTGAGATCGGATGTGGCCCAGAATGAGGCTTAACCGGGGCCCCACCGTGGCTTCACCGGAGCCACCAATCAAGCGCAGTCACCGTCTCACACACAGGCACTCAGTTGATCCACACGTCAGAGCCATTTGGGTGTGTATTGTATTGCAAGAAGGGAGACCGATCTTTTCCAAAAAAAACACCCTTGCTTTTGCTCGTTCGTTTCCTTTTTTTCAGGGTCTCTTTAGAAGGTCTCCCTGGCCAATTTCAATACACACCCATTTGGCCAGAAGTAAACTTTGTTGCTTTCATACGCTACCGAGGGGTTGTAGTGAGCTTCAACTTGGAAGAGCTTGATTGGCCGTATTGCAACCTGAACCTTTGATTCAACGTTTAACAGCAGGGATCACCCTATGTGGTACCTGGGAGGTCAACCGGACCACCCTGGTCGGTGTGGCTTGGGCAAGTGTGCACCGGATCCGCACCCCCGTATGGGCGGGTATAGTAAGGGGAGATGAACACTGGTGTGTCCACATGCAATATACATGAATTAGCACAAAGATTGTGGTATCTCACAAAGAAAGTGTGTACGTCAAGACTTGTGTGAAACGTCACGTGTGAATTTAGCGCGAAAGGAAGTGGAATAAAGCTTCATATTAACAATTCATGGTGCGATAGGTGTGGAAGGGCTCTGGGTTTTGACCCACCGCCATGTGTTGAGATGCCTGCTTGAAATTCCTGGTTCTTTGGGTCTCTTGTCAACTGTTTTTTCCCCAAACACTGTGGTCACACTAGGGGTTCTTACGGTAGGTGTTAAGGGCCGGTGTTTAGTCTAGTCGAGGTGTCGCGCGGTCGGGTCCGGCTAATTCGTTGCTATTTACAATACATTCATGCCTCTCGAAATCCTCGAAGTGCATTTCGACTGCGCGACAGGTCCCAGGATTTTGTGGCAGGCGCAGCACTTTGGACATGGTGGTGATCTTCGACGCGCTCTAAGTTCGGGACAAGTGCAATGAATCGTGACTTTTGGACATGTGGGTCGGTTTCAGAAGTCGGGGGAAGTCTCGCGCGAAAGCTGCGTTTTGGAATCTTGATGTTGTCTTTGAAAGCGCTCTTGCGGCAAAACGCCTTGACGGGCACAGCACTTTGTGAACCTCGAAGTGCAGATTTCGTGGCATGCGCAGCAATTTGTGAGGGAGGCACTGGAGGCACAGCACTTTTTGCACCTCGACGCTCTCGTTCTGGCTGAAACACATCCAGAAAAGACACACAAGAAGAAACGGTAGAAGAAAAAGGGGGAGGAAGAGGATCAGGAAAGAGGGGTGGAGGGGGCGGGGAGGGGAGAAGCGGAGAGTACAAATGATAGAACACCTTTACGAAGAGTGCCAGTTAGTTAGGCATCGACTAGCTTTAAGACAAGTTGAGGACGGTTCCTACTGTGTATCTTTAAAATGTTGCAATTGTTCTAAACCCTTGCACCAGCCCACCTTGCACAAAACGTTTCTGAATCAAGGGGTTGTCCCAATTATTTTCACGCAGCCACTCGCGGTTGTGGTCAAGTGCTACCCGAGTTTTTTGCTGAAAACATGTGAACAGCTGGATTCTGTGCCAATAACACTCGGTTCTTAATCTGCAGGTGAGCAGATTATCCCCAATGACAGCGCGGAGAGCCGTGGGCTGTGTGCGGGACTCAAAGACTCGTGTGGGCTGTGTGCTTCTTTGGCCGACGAGAATCCACAGATCGGTGCGTCCTCCGGAACAGTTCCATACATGAAAACCCCATGAAAAGGACCGCAATGTATCCCAATGTTGGTAACTATTCCTGTCCTGTTCCAGTCTGGTCTGGGTATGCCTAAAGAACCCAAGACCCTTGTGGACCCAAGTCGGTCTTCCAAGGGGCCATGTTCTGCTTCCATGTTTGTTGGGTGGCGTATGACTTGAAATCCGTTCATATCATTTAACCTTTTTTTGCGGGACTGGTTGCCCCACCCAAAATGAGCTGGCACAAGGTTCACCTTTTCTTTTCCAGGGCAATGCCTCGGGAGTGGGCTCAGGCCCTTGCCAGTGAATGCAAAACAAGGTGTTGTTTTGTTGGCAGGTGATCATCGCAGAAAAAAAATACAGTAACCGCATTCTGCAACTAGGATGAGGCTCGGAATTTTTGCATTTGTTTGTTAACACTCAACAGTTCAGTGCAGGTCTTAGTTTTAGCTCCCTCCCACAGAGTTTGATGCCACACAACACAGCACATCAAACAACTATCAAACAACCTCATCAGAGGCCTTAACACACACACACAGCGCACTGAACATGTTTTGGGGTGACTTGTTCTACCTCGTTGCTGGAGTTTGATGTGAATGCAGGTAAAGCACTGGCCACCGGACCATGAAATCATTTGGCATGTTCAACATGAGATATTTACCCTAGGGCTCCCGTCATACTTCCTCAGGTTCGGTATGACTGGACCCATCTGGCACCCACCCCAGTCCCACCGAAACGAAACGGTTCGGTACGACTGGAGCCCTGCCGGGTATCTATTCCAGTCCCATTCGTCAGGTCTTTCTTCAACAACGCGGACGTGTTTCCACCGGCCTGCACGGGTGAAGCGTCCGGCCCTGACACCTACAGGTGTTCCCTTCGCACCCACCTTCGGGCCGGGTCTCTATCTATCCCTAGGGATCCAGTCGTACGTCCTCAGAAGGTACTTGGACCCTCCTGGCACCTGCATAAGCAGTCTCCAATCACCGTACCTGACAAGGTACGACTGGATCCCTAGGGTATGCCCCTTCCAGAATTCGATTCACATCGATTCTCTCCCCATTCAGTGCTGGTCCTTGGTCTCACGTCCACGAGACCCAGTTTACGAGGCCGGCAGTGTGGGCAGCCCTACGGCTGGACAGGGATCGATGTGCCTTGGCGTCCTGTTCTCACGTCACTTGGACCCTCCACAGCCACCCCAGTCCCACCTTCTGAGAAGGTACTTGGATCTGTAGGGTTTGTATGTTCCTGAACCGGCTAAAAGGCCAACACGTGCGGTGTGTGACGAACTCAGAGAGAATGTGTGACTACTCTTACGGTGTGGGACGACTTTTTTCGACCCTTTTTCTTTGTTGAACATTGACGACTTTTTTCCAGGTTCCGGGACAGCACATCCAAGAAGACCATGTTCCTCGACGTCGCCCAAATGGTTCCAACTCCAACTGGCGAGTACTTGCACCATGTGTATACAGAGTCGAAGGTGCGTCATCCCCAACTCATTTAGTCCAAGTTTCTGCCTGAATTGTCCACACATCTACAGTATACCATTCTATACCCAAATACGGTAACAGTCAGTCGGATAACTGTTTGTTGTTGGGTTTACGTCCGGTTTTGTCCCATTGTACGAGGTACTTTACGTTTGAGACTCTAGGTAGTGCTGCCCGGTCCCGGTCGACCCCGGCGATGCTCTTTCAAGGGACCTCGGTGGAGAAACCACCACGTTTTTTTTGTCCAACATGCATGATTTTAAGGGTTTGAATGCCAATAGACTCACCCTGGTTATACCAAGGATTTGTTACCAAAAGACCCTTGTTATACCAAGGGTTTGTTACCAAAGGACACTTGTTCTCGATTTACTTTAGACTACAATACCAGGTCGACCATTCTTTTAATGGACTCGGAGCCAGACCTTTTGGGAGAGCTGGTGAGGGTGTGTGGCCTGGGTTTGCGGGTGCTTGGATGGAGCCTTTGGGAAAAGACTTTTGTACACCCTCGTACTTTCCAGCACAAACCGTATATCTAGCACACGTGTCAAGAAGGCTCACTGGTCGTGCTTTCTTTCCCCTCTTTTGAGTATCCTCGCTGGGCCGTGGATGTTCACGTGTTTCCTTCCCAGTGTCAACTTTTAGTTGATGGGTTACCTTCCCCGTTCCCCTTCGTTCGGTCTATGCCTGTAACGGTCAGTAAGCATTATCAGTAAACAATATCACCATTTTAGCACTATTTTAGAGAAAGGCCTTTACTAACTTTTTTAATCATCCACTGTAACTGGTACTCGGATAAACTCAGATATGCCCAAGATGTGAGGATCTCCCATCACTCCCATCCGCTTGTTCCCTGGCTCTAAGGTGGATCCAATGGTGAATGCGTTCTGTCGCGGTTCCCCAGAACGGTTCGTCACCCGCGTCGCGACGTTCCCGGCTTGAGGCCGCTTGTTGGGAGGTGGTTAGTACTCCAAAGATCAGGGCCAGGGGTGCTATGGACAGGTGTGTTGCCCCGCTGCAGATTAACATGGAACCCCCAAACCTCGCAGGTGTCCATGCCATCAGGTTCGATGTGGGTCTCTTAACGTGTGTACTCCTCAAAGATTTGCACATGTGAATGACTTAAAAAAGCACCGAAAATTGCTCACGAACGTTTTCAAGTTCACTTGTACATTTGTAGAATGGTACTGGTTGGTCCATGCTCTTGGGAAACAACTAAACGTTGGGGAACGCACCACCAACAAAAATGATCAAGTTAACATCCACCAGTGGTCAGTGGTGTTCAGTCCCATACCATGATAGACAATAGACAATGTTAGATGGCCAGCTGCAAAGCCTAGAAAGGAGTCCCGAACATGTGCTGAATGGACTTGAGTAGAGTAACGCTCACAAGTGTAACTCTACTTCTGGAGAAGTTGCCCATTTGTCCAATTTGCTCCAAGGGTATAGGACATGTCAAAAAAAACTCCCTACAAGAAAGACCCAGGTCCAGTCCTGGCAGGGGGACCTACCGTCCAGGTTCCATGGTGATGTGATCGTCGGAGTTGATCTTCATCGCCGAGCTGTAGGAACTTGAGAAAATATAACCAGAAACAAAAATACCAAAAAAAACGCTGAACATTGCACACGAACACCAGGAATCACAAGGATACGGGTGCATATTAATTGAAGGATACGGTGGGCCAAGTGGTTGGACTTGTCTTCCCGCACGGTTGCCCCCGTCCGGATTTCAAGGTCCCAGCAGGTCCAGATGCACGTGGCCATGCAATGGACGGTCCCCTTCGTTGAATGCGGGGAAGATGGAACGATGGAAATCTGAACATAGACCTTGGCAGACCATCCCATAGATGGAATATACCGATGTATATGGAACTCTTCCAGTCCCATCTGGTCTGGGCCGGGAACAAAAGTCTTCCACCAACGAGTCTTGCAGGTGAATGACCTCATGTTACTGGACGTGGTCATACAAAAACACATAAAAACACAACTTAAGGATCTGACAGACCGGGGTTTTCTGGGTCAGACTGGACTTGTAAGTACATGTTAAGGTTCCGGACGTGGGTCAGACGGTTCCGGACGGTAGAAGCACCGTTCTGCGCGCAGCGTTTGGGCCGTGTCTTGAGGTTTGATGTTTGGGCCCTATGTGGATACCCGCTCGCAGGAGCAACGAGACCGGGCGATCGACAGCCGGGCCTTCGCTCGAGCACGCGGAGGGCGGAGCCATCAAAAGTCAAGATCGATATAGGGATCCACATACTCTCTGAGAAGGTACGACTGGACCCGACACTGGCACCTAGATCACACTGTCTCCAATCACCTTTTGAGAAGGTACGACTGGATCCCTAGGGATAGAATACGTCAAAATTCAACATCCAGGTTTCGATACGGCTGCCACATGTTGCCACACATATCCATTTATGAGGTTATAATGGCTCTCGTAGTGAATACAGGATGAATCAGTATACTGTAAATCCAAAGACCAGACTGTCAAATGAAGGGAGATGGTTTCTTCCTCTCACCAAATTCAAGACCATGTTTCAAAGATGTGTTTAGGTGACATGAATTTGGGAGCTTACTTACTTCACTAGAGCACTCCGTGTTGTTGGACCTGTCATTGGACCTCTTTTTGGTCTCATTGGTGAATGTGTGCCCTTATCTCCAAGTGGAGATATGGCCTCCTTCGATGCTGACCATCCTTGACATTTATGATGACCAGTGGCTCGACACCTGTTGACAGATGGAACAACTTCACTTTCTGTCGTGCTCGAACTCCAGACCCTACCAGTCACGGACCCAGCAAAACGGTTTAAAACCTCTTGGGTACCAGGGTCATCCAATGGGTGTCCAATAGACTACCCTACCCTACTTACAGGTCTCCATTGGGCACCTGTTGGAAGTGCGTATATTAGTGTTTTTGTATGACCCACTCCAGTCAAATGCGGTCGAGCCCTTGACCAGTCAGTAGAGAAGAAATTGCATGTGTTGGCCACCGGCCACCGGCCGCCGTACCGCGGTGTCAGGAGATGTACGCCGAGAAGAAGCTATCCACCACAGCCATCTTGAGCATTTCCGAGGCCGAAAAGCTTGGTGGAACCTGGGGATGGATCAAAAGCTGCTGCCATGATCCACCATGTAGCGAGCTCGACCGTACCGGCGGCAGGTCAGGTCAGCCAAGTTCTCCTGATTTTGACCCACAGCCAGATATGTCTATATAATATATATATATACCCTAGTGCTCCAGAGCATCTCTGAGAAGGTATCTGGAAATTCATCTTCTGAGGATGGGTTCGAACTGAAAGTTGTGTGAGGTTGGGTCTGGACCCCGGGCGCGTGCTCAGCAACTTCTGGCTCACATGCTTCTTTTTCACGAGCCTGGACGTTGTCTGGTATACTATAACCAATCGCCAACTATCTCAATGTGGACCACATAGACTTACACACCTACATGTTCTATCCACCAGACCTTCAAATCGATGAGCCACGGGCCTTGGAAGGGATGCACCACGTACGTGGTGCGCCCTGGAGTGTCGCTAGTGTTCTTGGGAGTTCTGAAATCATGCGGTGTAGATGCATCTAATGCAAGAGATACATGTACATGTATTGGTTCAGGGGGTGAGATGGTTGGACGTTTGACATCGTCGTCTGCCCTTAGCTGCCACGACTTGCTCACGAGCTGACCCTGGCGCCAGTGCGAGTGCGAGCGCGATGGCGTTGATCGCGGCCCCTCTCGATGGTGGGATGGCTGTGGATCGTCTCCTCAAGTTCCGACTGAGCGTTACTCGGGGTGAATTATGCTTGTTCACAATATGCATTGCATTGATTCATGATTGGAGACATTGGAGGTTATCGATACGATATCGATGAACAATGATCGATTATTAGTAGCTTGGCAATCTACAATGGCATCAAGAGCTTCATCGAGGAGAACAAGCCCCGAGTCCTGGGTAGGGAAGAATCTTTGATGCATATGCAGTGCAAACGTGTACGTGATTGATCTGAATCAGTTGCATTGATATTGGCCAATAGAGATTTTCTCTAGCTACTTTGGCGGCCTGAGGACAAATGATGGATCATCGAGTGGAACCGGGAGGAAGGTGAAAACCAGGTGTCTGGGTTGAATTGGGCAATTGTCCAGACCCAACCTCACATAACTTTCGGTTCGAACCCTTTGCTCCTCAAAAACCTCACACAACTATCGGTTCGAACCCCTCCTCAAAACTCAAAAGATGAATTTCCAGATACCTTCTCAGAGATGCTCTGGAGCACTAGGGAAAATTGCCTTGATCGATCTTCAGGCGAGTGTCTTTGAGAAAGACCTGGTGTTCAACTATGAGGTGATCAAGGAGGTGATGATGTCCATCCATGGTGCGCTCCCACTGGTGTTGCCGCAAGGGATCCCGCCTCTGAAGGACTTTGAGGTTTCTTGGCTCTGACCCGATATCGATCGTTTCGATGGTGAAATCTGTGTTGATGATTTGCTGTAGCACTGGGGTTTGGATATATAAGGCTGCCTTTGTGTACACCACTGCGGCCCACAACTTGCATGTGGAGCTCCACCAACTGCAAGGGGGCAAGAAGAGGATGCGAGATCCTTGGCCTAGTTCATCCCTGCTAAAGACACGTTATGAAACCGATCTAGATCGTCTTCTATATAGTCTCTGGGTTTTTGATTTGGTACCAGTGCTCACCCCACTTTGAGGCATGACTTCATGGACATGATCTGGTGGGTCCATTATAAGCATCTGCACAGGGTACCTTTTTGGGCGTGATTTCATTTTTGAGGATTGGGCTCACAAGGAAGCCACTCGACTTCGCGCAGCGCTCCAGCACCTCCACCGCCTGACGGCAAAGATGGGTGTGTCCAGGAGCTCCGGTCTGATCTGAAGTACCAGTTTCCGTCGTTGCTTTGCGCAGGAACCCTATGGTGGAGGTGCTCAAGAAGCTCTATGTCCACTTCCGAAGCATGGGTTCTGTAAGTGTCTCAGCTATCTGTCTCTAACATGCATGCAGTTTAAAGTGAATTTGTGAGGATGTGGGTGATCTTGGCCATGATGCTTTGGAGGACGGATTGATCATCTGACATGGCCTGTTGCTGAACCTTGTTTTGCAGGATATCGATAACAATGATCAGGGTGAGGAGCTCGTGATAGAGAACCTGGATGATGAACCAATCATCATCAGCGCCAGGGACTGGGTCATCATTGGTGCCTAGCTAACCATCCATCATCGCCCCCCATGACCAAACATGAGCCTTGTCATCATCGATGGCAGGATCGTCCTTCTCCTGGAGGGGGCATGGCCATGAAGGCCATTCGTGATTGCACTGGGTGGAGGTGCTGCCCGCCCGTTCAACCCTAGCTATAGCTAGCTATTCAACCCTCATGGTTCCTCGAATTTGGGATTCACCTCTCAGGCTATCGAGGACATCAAGGACAAGCCTGAAGTGGTCACTGAGAGGGCTCCGGTGCCTAGCACGTAGCCGACATTGATCAGCACGCATGCATGCAATATCGGGCGGCATGTTTGTCTTATTTGGGACTCGCCTTTCAGGCCACGGAGGACATCGAGAGCAAGCCTGAAGTGGTCACTGAGAGAGCTCAGGTGCCTATAATTCATTAATCATGACCAGCAAGGATTTTTTGAGTGCGCATAACTGGGTTTAAGTTGGGGCTCATCTTTCA